CCTCCCAAGTAGCTGGGACTACAGGCACCCGCCAGAAAACGCCTGGCTATTTTTTGGTTGTAGCTGTCGTTTGGCGGGCCCAGACTGGATTCGAACCCGCCAGCTCAGGTGTATGTAGCTGGCGCTTTAGGCGCTTGAGCCACAGGCGCTGAGGCCTATTTTTTTTTTTATTTTTAAGAGCCAGTCTCTCTCTGTCACCCTGGGTAAACAGCTGTGGCATTATCATTGCTCACAGCACCCTCAAACTCCTGGGTTCAAACGATTCTCTTGTGTCAGCCTCCTGAGTAGCTGAGACTACAAGCATGCCACCATGCCTGACTAGTGTTTTTTACTTTTTTAGTAGAGACGGGGTTTTACTCTTGTTCAGGCTTATCTGAAACTCCTAAATGCAAGCTATGTATCCACCTTGGCCTTGCAGAGTGCTAGGATTACAGGTGTGAGCCACCAGGCCTGACCTACTTTTCAGTTTTAAAGTATATATTTTTTACATAGTTCTTATAGTATGTGTGTGTGTGTGTGTGTGTGTGTATACATATATAACATTTAAAAAATTTCCCATTCCCCAAATATTTTTCACATTTTGTGAATTTTTGATTTTCTTCACAAACATCTTTTTTTGAGTCTCACTTTATCACCCTCAGTAGAGTGCTATGGCGTCACACAGCTCACAGCGACCTCCAACTCCTAGGTTTAAGCAATTCTCTTGCCTCAGCCTCCCGAGTAGCTGGGACGACAGGTGCCTGCCACAACACCCAGCTATTTTTTTGTTGCAGTTTTCCCGGGGTTGGGTTTGAACCCACCACCCTCAGTATATGGGGCTGTCACCCTACTCACTGAGCCACAGGCACCACCCACAAACATCTTTTTTTGAGGCAGAGTCTTACTTTCTCGCCCTCAGTAAAGTGCTATGGTGTCATAGCTCGCAGCAACTTCTAACTCTTGGACTTGAGTGAGTCTCTTGCCTTGGCCTCCTGAGTAGCTGGGACTACAGGTGCCTGCCACCATGCCTGGCTATTTTTAGAGATGAGGTCTCACTCTGTCTCAGGCTGGTCTTAAACCTGTGAGCTCAGATAATCCACCCACCTCAGCCTCCCAGAGTGCTAGGATTACAGGTGTGTTTTTTTGTTTGTTTGTTTGTTTGTTTGAGAGAGAGAAGTTCACTCTGTTGCCCTGGGTAGAGTGCAGTGTCGTCAGAGCTCATAGCAACCTCAAACTCTTGGGCTTAAGATACCTTCTTGCCTCAGCCTGCACAATGGCTGAGACTACAGGCACCTGCCACAACACTCAGCTAATTTTTCTGTTTTTAGTACAGATGGGGGTCTTGAGGTTGAGCTCTTGCTCAGCGTGGTCTCAAACTCCTGAGTTCACACATTCTACTTGTCTCAGCCTTCCAGATGCTAGGATTACAGGCATGAGCCAGCTGGCTACAAACATCATTCTTATTAATTGTGTCATATTATGCTCAATACCATTCTGCATCATTTAGCTATTTCTAATTTTTTCTACTCATTTTTAATTTGCTGTGAATTTTCTTGTCATTAACTTTTTCTGTATTTAAGTCTTGAGAATAGATTCTCCAAATATAAATGTATATGAATATTCTAGAATTATATATCATCTCAACTACCATAAGGTAGTAAGAATTTTGTGTAAAGAACAAATGTATATATTGAGTTATTATCCTAGACTATTTGTTAGTTTATTTGTTCTTAAGCTTCAGTTATCTTTTTATTTTTTTTTTCAGTTATCTTTTTAAATATGTTTTTCAATTAAGTAGCTAGAAAGATATCTTGAGTAGTGCTTAGTTAATAGGAATATTGAATTCTATTCCTAATTTGAGTAATATACAACCTCAGTAGATCTATTAAAATCATGTATCATGTGGCAAGCTGTAAGTGGATGCTATATTTATTAGCTTCTACATGTCCAGTACGGACATTTCTCTTATTGTCGTAATTCTTTCTTGAAGGGAATAGACACTGAGTTAAAATAACAATGCTTTGTTACTTCTGAATTTTTTGCCTCTATTTTATATAATCACCACCATTGTTATTGTAAATGTAATTGCCATATTTACTTATAATTATTGATCATGATTTAATTTTTAATTGTGTAAAACTGTTTAATTCTGTTCATATATAAGGTGGCATTGTATCACTACTGCCTCCTTCAATGCACTGAAGTATAATCGTGTTTGAAACCAATGCTACACATTTTATAGGTAGTAATTTTATCCTCTTTAGGTTATTTATAAACGTGAACTGTTTTTTATCTTAGATTAAACCAAAACTGGAAAATAGATAACGCGTTTATTGTGTGAGAATGGTGTCTTTTTCATAGCTTATGCTCTGTTAAACATCATGGTAAATTTATATTTTGTTTTTCAGGTGTTTCATTTTTTACTTTTGGTACCTTAAAGAGTGTTGGGCTTTCCCATGCTCCTACCCTTCTTGGCAGACCTTCATCAGACAATCCTAATGTTTTAGTTTTGAAAACTCATGTAAACTTACTTTGTGGTGGTGTTGCTGGAGCAGTAGCACAGACAATATCGTAAGTTTCCTCATCAATTTAATTCAATCAAATCACAGTTACCCAATCCTGATTTTCACCACTGGTTAATCATTTTCTTTTGTCTGATTATTAAAATATCCCTTGCAAAATATAAGTATTAATTGAATACAGTTTTTCAGATGTGCCTGCACTTTAAGCATATTATAGAAAATTACACATTTGGTAGTGTGTATCTGTAATCGTAGCAACAGGAGAGGAAACCTATGCCCAAATGTTCAAGTCCAGACTGGGTAACATAATGAAACCCATACCCTGAAAGAAGGAAAGGGAGACAGAGAAAGAAAGAATAGTAATTATGTGACAAATAGACCAAATTAAACTAAATTCACCCAATTTCCAGTGGATTTATTTGAAAGAAAGAAAGGAAGAAACACTGGCTCAGTGCCCAGAGCACAGTGGTTATGGTACTGGCCACATGCACCGAGGGTGGCAGGTTTGAGTCCTGACCGTGCTAGCTGAACAACTGCAACCAAAAAAAAAAAAAAAAATTAGCCAGACATTGTGGTGGGCTCCTGTAGTGCCGGCTACTTGGGAGGCTGAGGCAAGAGAATCTTTGAGCCCAAGAGTTTGAGGTTGCTGTGAGCTGTGACACCATAGCACTCTACTGAGGGCAACACAGTCAGACTTTGTCTCAAAAAAAAAGGAAGAAACACTAAATCTTTATATTTTCTCACAAATCTGGTAACATGAAGTTTCTGAAGTTTGAACCATTTAGAGTGTGTGTGTGTGTATGGAGGGACAGCTTTCCCTGCATTACATCATGAAGGACGGCTTTGTTGCTAGTGCACTAGGCAGTGGGAAGGTCGCTGAAGATAAAACAAAATTGTTGCCTCAACAAGGCTATCTCCTTATTATGTCAGTAGCAACACAATGGAATTACAGGTGGGGGGAACATAGAAAAAGGTGTTACTGTATTACAATTAGAAAAGTGGCTTGGAAGACTTTCCCTATACCATGAGAGTTGGAGTAGAATGAGATAAAAAGAGGCTAGAATACTAAGAAAAAGGAACTTTTTAGGAACAGAAAGAAAAGAAGTTTTTGATGCATGAGGAGAATCCTGAGAAACAGGAAGATGACAAGGAAGTAGTAGTATCATAAAGAATAAAAAAAGAATATCCTATGGGAAAAGAAATGAAAGTTAGATGGGTCATTTGTTCATTTGATTGTACAACTAAGGATTATTTTGTGAAAGCAGGTTAGATGTATTTGTGGATGGGACATTTTATACTTGAAGGTAAATACTCGATTGAAGGTATGGAAGAAAAGGAATGTGGAAACTTGCCTGTGAAACCTTGTTCATTTGCAGAAACACAAGCACCTCGAGCTATTTTGATTCTTTTCTGCTTTTTTTGCTGCCCTCTCTTCACTACTTATGTATCCTAGACCCTTAAAATCTATCTTCTCTTTCCCACTTCTGTTAAACTACATTCTAAACCCATTCATTGGCTCTTAGTTCTATTACCCTCTTTCCAGTTGTTCTAGTTCATTGTCTCCTATACGCGTGCCCTCTCTAGGCAATCATCGTTCTGAACCTTCCCTTTTCATCTTCTGACCTATCTGTGTGGATTGTTTCAAGCCAGACTTGAGTTCTCTCTATTCCTATAAATATCTGGAAAAGCTTATCTGTCTTCAGGGTATCAAGGGTCACTGCTGTATAGATAACCAATTCTATTTAAATCTCCGTGACTGGCTGCCCATTACATCTCTTGTAAGCTTTTGGGTATTTTCCTCGGATCTTCCGCCATCAGGGCAAACTTCATAATTCAAATATTCTTGTCTTCTTCTTTATGACAATCCTCAGCTCCCAAATTTCCCATTTATTATTAGTAACCACCAATCTACTCGTCCTGCTAACTTGAAATCATTTTTCTTGTTATGCATATCCAAACAGTCCCTAAGTCTTGGCAGTTTTTACTTTAGAACATAACCTATAATGCTATTTCCTTCTTTTCCACGTTATTTCCCTAGTTCTGGTCTTTATCACTTTGTCTTCTTACATCCTCTCTTTTCTATTAATCAGTTCCTTCTACCCATATATATCTTGTCTTGCTTGGAAACTCAGTCCCGTCAGGTTGAGATGTTTGGTCTTCCTACCCCCATAATATTTCTTTTCCTCCTACATTAACAAATAATTCCTGGAGATGCTATTTAAGTGCATAGGGAGCTTCAACTATTGGCAGTGTTATTTCTTAAGTTGTTTGGTTGGTGACTGGGTGTTTTTTATCATAACTATTTCAAAGTAAATTTAAATATGTATTAGAAATATGGAACTGGCTGGGCAAGGTAACTCACTTCTGTAATCCTAGCATTCTGGGAGGCTGAGGCAGGTGGATCACTTGAGCTTAGGAGTCACCAACGGTGACAAAATGAGACTCTCTCTCTCTCTCAAAAAAAAAAAAAATATATATATATGCATATAATATATGTATTAGATACCATAAGGAACTTCAAACAAAAAGCAGAAAGTAGCTGTGTGACATTAGAAAATGTCTCTAATACTCAATTTTTAAAATCTTAATGTTGGGTTAACAGTACCTACTTCATGCAGCTGTTGTGAAGATGAAATGAGATAATGTACCTAAACTGTTTAGCACAGGACCTAACACAAGTGGTTAGGATTACCAAATTAAAATTTTAAAAAATCATCTGTATTCATTACTTTTGTGTATTTCATTTCAGGCAACGTTGGGATAGGATTTTTTGTGTCCTCAAAATGCAGTTATCTGTATCATTAATTTTAGATCTTAAGGAAAGTTTTATATTGGTCTACTATACTTGAGAAGACTTGCCTTAGAACAGTTCTCAATTGGTGATGATATGGCCTCCAGCAGACATTTGGGGGTTTTTTGTTTTGTTTTGTTTTTTACAGACAGAGTCTCACCTTGTCGTCCTTGGTAGAGTGCTGTGGCATCACAGCTCACAGCCTCCATGGATCCCAGCACCCTTACTCACTGTGCCTCAGGCGCCGCCTCCAGCAGACATTTGTGCTTCTCTGGAGACATTTTTGGTTGCCACAGCTGGAGAAGTGCTACTGACATCTAGTGGGCAGAGGCCAGCGGTGCACTTAAACGTCCTACAATTCCGGTGGTGCCTGTAGCTCAAGTGGCTAAGGTGCCAGCCACATACATCAGAGCTGCTGGGTTCGAATCTGGTCCAGGCCTGCCAAACAGTGACAACTACAACCAAAAAATAGCTGGACGTTGTGGCAGGCGCCTGTAGTCCCAGCTACTTGGAAGGCAGAGGCAAGGGAATCGCTTAAGCTCAGGAGTTAGAGGTTGTTGTGAGCTGTGATGCCACAGCACGCTACCTAGGGCGATAGCTTGAGGCTCTGTCTCCAAAACAAACAAAAAAAGAAATATCCTACAATTCACAGGATAGTTCCTCACAGCAAAAGAATGTTCCAGCCCAGAATTTCAATAAGTGCCAAAGTTGAGAAACCTTATTTATTATAATATTTCCTCAGGAGTTAGCATTTAATATGGCTTTGAGGAATGAATAGAACTTTTGTGATGGGGGAGAAGAATCTTCTAACCAGGGGGAATCCCATAAACACCTCTGTGCGAATTTATTTTATTCATGTGCCTATAAATTAGATAAAACAATAAGAGAATAAGAACACATTATCTCCTAGTGTATATAGTGCTCTGTATTTAATAGTCATTGAGAAGAAAACTAAAAATTATTTTTAGGCTTTTATGTCTTTTTCTTTTAGTTATCCATTTGATGTAACTCGTCGGCGAATGCAGTTAGGAACTTCTCTGCCAGAATTTGAAAAGTGCCTGTAAGTTTATCATGTCATTATTCATTTTTTGGGGGGGGGATGTGATGGTTAAAATCAGTAGAGTACCGTTTCTCTTGATTAGCTTTTAAATAAAAAAGGTAAAGGAGATAGGACTCTGGTTTTAGCAATAATCTATATCCCCATTTTATCCCCCACAGTGTGTTTTGATAACTTTCTAAGATTTCCATGAGGTTCCATTCCTCTTATTAAACATTTTATTTTGGGCTGGGTACAATGGCTTATGCCTGTAATCCTAGCAGTCTAGGAGGCTGAGGTGGGTAGGTTGCCTGAGTTAAGGAGTTTAAGACCAGCTTGAGTAAGAGTGATACCCTGCTTCTACTAAAAAATAGAAGAACTTGGCAGCACCCATAGCTCAGTGAGTAATCTCATCACTTTGGGATGCTGAAGTACAAAGATTGCTTAAGCCCAGGAATGAAGTGTGTGTGTGTGTGTGTGTGTGT